TGGGACAGACAGTGGCTCCATTTTCACAGCATTAAAACAGGCATGGGATTGGAGTGGCTTTGCTCTGGTTTGCCAATAACCTGCAGTTAAAAAAATACTGCATCTCAACAGCCACAACAAGAGGATACAGCACTTACCAAAGTCTGCAAAAAGTCAATGCAGACTTCTTTGACACTTTTGAACACCCCTCAACCATGAAGAGTTGGACACGACTAAACAACAACAACCTCTTGTGGAACCAGTTCAAGAGAAGAAAAAATAACGGGGGGAAATAATGAAACCCAGACATTAGGAATTGTATATTTAACAAACATTCATTGTTTGGAAAGTTACTTTCAAAAAGTAACAACTTTCTACTGCAGCCCCTCAAAGCTGGTAGCTACTATTATAGTTGTAATTTTTAAAGGAAATATTTGTTTTTCATTATTCAAAAGTAGCTAGATTTAGTTGCTTTGTTTAGACACTTCAAAAATGACCCGGGAAAGTTACAGCTTCATTTGTTACACAAAATACACTGAAGTAGTCTTTCTTTGCTCGTGTCAGAAGCACTACAGTAGAATTGATAATATATGATACCAGAAAAAAGAGCAAGTAATTCTTTATTTTTCATTATTTCCAAGCTTTTGCAATGATTCTGTATAAATAACTACTTTATAGAATGTGGCATTCTCTGTGTCTTTATTTTAAAAATAGGTGGTGGGGTGGATCTCATATTCCACACACCAAATGGCCTTTAGTGCCATCTGGTGTGTGGTCATGAAATGCATCTTGTTAAAACTCTTTTCCTTTTAATATTACAATTGATGTTTCCAGTTTCATTTGAAATAAGAAACTATGATCACCAGCTTTGGAACAAGCCAAGCTACAAAAAACATTTCAGACTGTGGTCTAATATCATAGCTTGTCCCAAAGTGCTGGTAAACATGCATCTTTCTGGAAGACTGGCTAAACAGCTATTTCATTGTGCTGGCACTTCCACTATTTGTCATCCTTGCTCCCATAATATACCTTCGATCTGCACTACATCATGAATTGCAATGTGACCTAAACAAGCTGCCTGTCTGTACCATCCTATGGTCACACCTTACAATCTGCCATTATGATGCAAATCTTTAATTGGATGTCTGTCCTTGTTAAAAACTGAAGTATAAACATGTTAATTACCCCATCTCATAAATTTCAAGGAAGATTTCTTTCAGTTAAGTGTGCCTGGAACTGCAATCATGCCGCCTAACATAGTAATTCTTGCTGTGTTCAGTGGGTATTCACTCTGTTTTTATAAGTTATGGTGGTTCTGGGTTTTTCGGGCTCTTTGGCCGTATTCTGAAGGTTGTTCTTCCTGACGTTTCGCCAGTCTCTGTGGCCAGCATCTTCAGAGGACTGGAGTAGGAACTCTGTCCATGCATAAATTATAATGATGATAATAATAATAATAAAAAAGAACACGGCCAAAGAGCCCGAAAAACCCAGAACAACCATTAGATCCTGGCCGTTAAAGCCTTCGCATTTATAAGTTATCTTTATATTATGTCTTTCCTGGAATGAGCTGAATGTGATATACCTGATTCCCCCCTTCCCCACTTTATTGTCACAATGAAGAGCAATTAAGGATGTGTGAGTGGCCTAAGGGCTCCAAGTTGAGCTTTGTAGCCCGCTGCAACACTTTATCCACTGCACAACACTGTTCAGCCCCAAAGAAGTCATAATTCAGTGGGGAGAATTATTTTCCCCAAAATGTATGGCGCATTGTATCCAGGTGTACTCATGCATAAGTACTTACTCTAAATGAAGCTCTGCGAGTGATTACAGTCACATAAAAGAAATAACATACCATCATCATAGAACTGAAGAGTTGGAAGGGACCCCATGGATCAAGGAGACACAACGGGGGGGGGGGAAGAACTCCCAATCTTTGGCTCTGCAGCCACATACCTAAAGCACTATGCTATCCAACATATGCATGCAATTCATATAATTTTACAAAAATCATGCCTATAGAAGAACTACACAACTTCAATGTTGACAATGAAAAAAATTAAAATAGGTAAAAGAGACTTTGTCTACCCTGGTTCAATCAGCAAACCCAATGGAAACTGCAGCTAAGAACTCAGAAGACTAGGAAGGGCAGCCATGAAGGAACCAGAAACGATCAGGTATAAGGATAAGGATCATCTCAGAACTGCAGAGTTGAAAGGGACCCAAATGGATCATCAAATCCAACCCTTGTCAAGGAGGCAGAGTGAGAAATCCAGCTCATAACCTCTGAACCCTAAAACACGGATCTATCCAGCAATTTGGGATGTACCACTGGAGGCCAGGACCAAGATCATCCACACGCTTGGATTTAAGATCATGGATGTGAAAGCCGGATAGTAAAGAAAACTGACCGGGGGTGAGGGGGTGAAGAGAATGATTTATTTGAAATGTGGTGCTAGAGGAGCACAAATACTCTGGATTGTCAGAAAGACAAACAAGTGGGTCAATCAATCCTGAATATTTGTGGAGGCAAAAAAAAAGGATGAATCTGAGATTGCCCTACTTTGGGGCGCATCATGAGAGGGCAGGATTCTCTGGAAAAGACAATACAGTGGTGCCTCGCTAGACAGTTACCCTGCATGACTGTTTTTCCGCTAGACATTGACTTTTTGCGATCGCTATAGCAATTCGCAAAACAGTGAATCCTATGGGGGAATTTTGCTGGACAATGTTCGATCCCTGCTTCGCAAACCGATTTTTGCTAGACGACGATTTTGACAGCTCCCTCCACGTTCGCAAAATGGGCGTTTTCGGGACCTAAGCTTCGCAAGACAGCGATTTAAACAGCTGATTGGCGGTTCGCAAAGCGGCTTTCCTATGGCCGATCTTCGCTAGACCACAACGATTCTTCCCCATTGGAAAGAGTTAAACAGGTTTCAATGCATTCCAATAGGGAAATGCTTTTCGCTAGACGATGATTTTGCTAAACAGTGATTTCAGTGGAACAGATTATCGTCGTCTAGCGAGGCACCACTGTAAATGCTGGGAAAGATTAAAGGCATCAAGAGGAGGCATGAAGAGGCACCACTGTAAATGCTGGGAAAGATTGAAGGCATCAAGAAAAGAGGAGGCATGAAGATGAGATGGACAGACTTCCTCAAGGAACCATAGGCTTGAGTTTGGAGGCGTTTGCAGGAGACTGCTCAGGGCAGGCGGTGGCGATCACTCCCTCCGAGGGCCGCCATAATAAGTCAAGAGGGCACATAAATATCTTCCTCCGTCGCTGTAAGCAAATAGGATACTGAATAATTACTAGAAACAGGAATTGCTGTTCATTGTTCATAGCAACTGAGTCCTATTAATAGTCATAAAGGACGGCGCCACTGAATTCGCTTTCTGAGCCTGGACATCTCTCCCCTTCTTCCATGAGGTAAGTTGCGAGCCTTTCGCTCCAAGCTGCAAAAAAACAGTCCCGTCCCCCCCGCGAGGTGCACCGACACTAACGCGAACCCCATTTATTAGGACACCGGCCCCTTTAAGAAGGAGGCGGCCGGAAGTCCCGCCAGCCGAGTTGTTGTGTCCAGCTTTGCGCATGCTCGCTCCCCCCAACAGCTTCAAGACTCGACCGCTCGGAAGACGGTAAGGGGGAGGGGGGGAAGTGGAAGAGAGGGAATACAGGGCGATGGTGCTTGCCGCAACCGCACTACGGGAGCCGGGAGGGGCCAGGCCGGACGCGGGTGTGCGTGGAGAAGAGGGAGGGGATTGCGTGGAGGCC